GAATTGTTGCAAGCATCAATTTTGAATAAATTTGCTTTAATAATTACTGATTTATCGAAGATTTTGTATTTTTCTAAATTACCGTTATATGGGATGTAGGCGTGGTTATCGTCCGATTTTAAAAATGGTCGGCCATTTGGTATGCTGTGCTAAGGCCAACAACTGTGCCAAGTTTGGAAGAAATTGGTGCAGCGGTTACCAAGATGTACACATGTAACCATAAGTTTTCCAAAAATTTATAATATTCTTATTTTTCGTCTAAAAGTTATTGTAAATATCAATTTTGAGTGAATAATCTTCAGTAGTTACTAAAATATCGCAGTTTTCGTATTTCTGAAAATTACCGTTATATGGGAAGTGGTCGTGGTTACAGTCCGATTTAGCCCATTTTCAATACCAACCTACCTTGGATAAATGGAAACCTACATACCAAATTTCGTTGAGATATCTTAATTTTTGCTCCAGTTATCGTGTACACCGACGGACGGACAGACGGACGGACAGACAGACATGGCTTAATCGACCTCTCTATTCATTCTGAGCATTTATGTATACATTTGTCTATATCTATCTCGATTCGTTTTGGCTGTTACAAACAAGCGTTATGTGAACAAAGTTAATATGCCCTTGTGCACAAGTGCGCTCGGGTATAAAAATTAACTGAACACATAAGGAAATTTGTATGTAGGATGTAAATATTTATTAGATATTTATAAAAAAATAAATAGTATTTTCATATTGAATATTTTTACGCTGAAAATTTAGTAAGAAGTAGTAGATGAAAGACAGCTTTTTTATTTTCATGAAAGGTATGAAGGCTTCGCCATAGCCGAAGACAGCCCCTTTTTACTTGTTTTACTTGATTTTTGCATTAGTTCTTAGTTATTCCGCTTTCTTCGGGTTTGCCATCCACGACCTTTACGGGCATGAATTCAATTCCCGATTTTTTTTTAGGTTTTGTTTTTTTCGTAGCACATGGTTTTTTTATTTGCATAATTTGGTTCAACACAATAGTCTTTTTGCATTTTTTTTGCAATGCATTCGGTATGTATGTACATATATACCTATGCTCATATGTATGCCATAGCCAGACGGACATGCGAATTTATACTTTTTGTTTCTTTTCCGTTCGCTATTGGCAGTATATGTATGCATAGATATTTGTACATGCAAGTATTTTCTTTTTTTTTGACTTTCCTTTAGAGTTCGAGTCACAGGGCACTTTCTGAGTTAGGTTCACTGATCTTATTTTTTTTTCGCCACTTTTAAGTTTGAGTTAAGTCACATTAAATTTAAATTTTTTTATGTCTTAATTTTCAAGTTTTTTGATTTTTTTACACATGCGTATTTTCCCCGGTAGTCTTCCGATTCGCTCGCCGTCCGGAATCACGAGCGAGTGGTTTTACTTTAAAATCAGTAGGGCAGTAGGTACAGATCTCAGCACCGTGGCTGCAGGTGTACATATGTATGTATAGCCGTCGGTATATATAGTAGGCTCTCTAACTCTCCACACAGGTTCTCGACAGCATGCTGG